TGAGTATTTAAGAAAGCAAGCTGAACTTTATGGGTTTCTTTGTCAGAACATAGGTCTAGCCTTTCCTCGGTCACAGTGTCCAAGGAGATTCCACACCTAAGTCCATCCTCCAAAATCATACTTGTGATACTAGCGGTTTCCCTCCAAGGCCTGGCTTCATGCCAGCACCTAGTGGCTGCATGCAGCCTCCTTACCTCTTCCCAGTATTTCTTACTCAATAGGTATTGGCTCCCGACCGTTAGAGGAGGAGACCAGGGCGTAGAGAGCAGAAGGGACCAGTAGAAATAGAGGGGTTAATGTTCCAAGTCTTCTTTGCCCTGGGCTCTGGGAAGAATGGACCAACTCTTTGGAATTAGGCTTGTTATCCAACCCTGAAGTCCTGGCCCAACATAACTTCTTATGTGCAGGTTGCTACCCTGGGTTACACAGGAGTTAACAAGATAACACTAGACTGTGCATTCTCCCTCAGAGCACTTGAACCTTATCGATATACTCACCACCTGTTTATTGTCCACCTCTGCTGCTACCAGTGATGCCAGGTTCCTAAGGGAAGGACCTCCAACCTTTTTTTTCGTATGGGCTGCAAAGCTAATCATGCTTCTCTGTCTACTGCCCTTCCAATACAGACTGAAGTCCCTAAAGATGTGGCTCCAGGTTAATGCTGCAGCCCTATCTTAGACCCTCTGTTCCTCACTGTCATCTCCATCTCCTTTAGACATCTTCATGGCCTCCCTCATTCCTTCCACAGGACCTTTGCATGTGCTGTCTTCTGTCTGGAGACTATTTTTTTCTCTCACATCCTTCCTTGGTTATTGCTTCTCTGAGTGTCTACCTGGTGTCTGAGCTGGGTGGAAGTTCCCCCCACCCCCACCCCCGTGAGACTCTCTGCCTCCTAATACTTGGCCTTTGTTTAGTACATCCATCTGTAGCTGGGGGTGTTTGATTGTGTTTGCTTTATGTCTTCCTTCCACACTCCATGTGTTTGCCCTGGGACTTTGTGTGTTTTAGTGTTCTCAATGCTCTCCATATAGCTAGCATGAGGTCTAGATTTAATAATTGTCTGCTGCGACTGAAGGAATAAGGTCAAATGGTCCAAAATGTGAGGTGGAACTTATTATGCCTATATGTGTGTTGTGTATTACTGGAGTTGTTAAGGTCAAAGCCTGGGCCCTGGCAGCTCTAACCAGCTAGGGTTGGCCACCCATTCTCAATACATCAATTAAGGAGACAAGTAATAGGAGAAAGCAGAGAAAGGAACATCATGCAACATGACCGTATTAAGACGAGAAACAAATAAAAATGTCTAGTAACCTACCAAATCCATTTTCACTGGTTAAAGTTTAAACACAGAGCAAGAGGCAAACATCATGACTAAGCTGTCCCAGGCACATGTGGTCCTGCCTTCTACCACTGCCCAGCATCTCTCCTTCAAGGCAATCTCACAAGCTGTCAGACCTGTGATAATTCTTGCTGATAAGCAAGCTCTTACTCTGGCTGGCACCAGAATTAGATCCCCAGCGCCATTGTAAAAGCAAAGTATGGTGGTGCATATCTTTGGTCTTTGGGGGAACAGAGACAGGAAGATCTCCAGAGCTCATTCACTGGTTAGCCATCCTAACCGAATTTCTTTGGGTTCAAGAAAGTGTCTCAAAAGATAAAGATGGAAATGGATAAAGTAAGACATCTCATACGTGTGTGGGTGCATACACAGGTATGCACACATGCAAGTATGTGCACTTGTACGTACATGGCCACACACACAATACACGTACACACCCACACAAACATGGACACACTCATACACACACTGTGCATACCAATTTTAAAAGGTAAACAAAATGTTTTCTCTTTGGCCAGGCTGTCTATAACAGAAGGGAGGAACAGGCTACCAAATGATTTCAGGGTGTGATATCCCATTAGATATCCAGTCCTGAATTTTTATTTTGTGTTTTTCGCTGGGGCTGAGTTTTCCAGCATTGTTTGGGGGCAGGGAGAATTTAAATGTTGTTTAAAGAGATAAAATATGTTCTGAAATGGATTTAAGCTATAAGAAAAAAAAAAGAAAGTTGGGGGCTCATGACCACTTGGGAAATGGGTATTCGTTTTTAAAAAACTGTGATTATCTTTAGGACCAGGGCTGCATAATTAGGCAGAGCAATATTTTGTTTAGTTTTTCTTTGTAGGACAGGCCATATGTGATATCCTATGTATAGAACACCAGCCATGGCTGATGCCAAAATTATCCTTGCTTACCAACTCCATCCCACACATCTCTAACTGTTCCTAAGGCTTCTGCTGCCAGGCTTTTTGGCATCTGGACATCTTTTGATACAGAGGGGAAGTTGGTGGACTCTATTAGACTTAGAAGGATTTCCAGATAATTTCCTTGCTTGCTTCTATTAGGTGTTTCAATGATTTGTATTGTTCTGTCAAGAGTTTACCTTTCAGAATTCACTAGAAAGCACCTGCCCTTATATCCGCATTTATTTAAAAATAGCACTCCTCTTTCCAACAACACCAGAAATACATGCATTTGTGAAGCACATTCGCTGCTTAGTGCCTTTCTTGGAAGAACCATTATTTGAAGATAGAAAAATAATTTAAGGGGAGCTTCTGAAATATAAATCCTGTGGTAGTCTGGTCACGCAGACGTTAACTCCGCTGCATCTCCACTTGTCCAGATTACAGGAGAGAATAGATATTTTTAAATGAACAGAGGTAAGTTTACGTTTATTAATTTTTTTTACATTAAAATACACCATGTCTATTAAGGAGGTTTTGGGAGAAATAGAAAAATAAGAAAGCAAAGGGAAATTATACTGCTTGGATAATCGTTGTTCATGTTGGTACATTTCTCTAGACATTTTTTCCATCATTGTGTATAGATTTATTTTTACAGTATGCTGTACATAGTTTTCTAATCCATCTACAAATACCTGTAATGGATTTAGTACATATGCCTTGTGATATCAAACACTCTGACCTCCTCATTAAGGCCGGATGATGCACATTACCGTACAGTGAGAATGACATCACTTATGTGGTTGTTCTCACTAGGAAACAGTGCCCAGGTAGCAAGCTTCTGTTTCTCAGCACTTTAGGAAAATGTGATGGTCTAGTTGCCAGAGATGGAGCATCCTGAGCCAGAACTGACTGAATAGTGCCTAAGTCTAAAATCACAGGGTCTGTAAGTCAGTGGTGGAATGCTTGCTCAGCGTGTATCAGGCTCTGGGTTCAGATTCCAGAGCTACAAGTTTGTGTTTTGAGTTTTTGATGGACCAGGAACATTCTGGAATGATTTTCTGTGTAGATGTAAGCACTTTTGCCTCTAGAAAAGTTACAGCTATGCAATGGTATTAAAATATATATAGGAAGCCAAGCATGCTAGAGTATGGCTGTAATCCTAATATTTAGGAAACAGAGGCAGTGAGGATCAGGAATCACAGTTATTCTTGACTATATAGGAAGTTTAAGATGCATTCAGACTACACCAGACCCCATATTTAAAAAAAAAAAAACAAAAAAACAAAACAAAAAAAAAACCCCAGGAAAAATAAAAGCCATAGTCTTGATGTTTCTAGTATCAGGAAAGGAACTCAACTTAGTAGTTTCTGCAGTACTACCCTAAATGACCCTTTATGACAGAAGAAGAAAGGTTTATGGGGCCAAACATCCTGCAAGGGGATTGAGGATAAGCATCCCAATTCATTGATTCCCTTACTGTGTCTGAGAAAAGAGGTCCCCAGTTCAACCCCCACCATAAATAGGACAGAATATAGGGACTGTGCTGCAGAGCCCAGAAGTTTCCTTTCAAGGCACCGATGCCATCTTTCAGGTGAATACGCTATTGTTTCTCAGACTGGGTTTTACATTCTGTACTTGAGGTTCAACCTAGAACCTGGCTCACCTGCTGGTCAGGTAAGGGATGAGCAGAGACAGCGCTGGCCATTCATATCACAGTCATGTGACCAGTGGGGACATGACACTTGTGGGAGGCTGTGGATCTAGCAAATGAGAATTCCCACTGGGTGGCAAGGAGCCTGCTCTGACTTCCACCACACACGTAATTGTAGTTCATATGTCTTATGACAAGTCGTGAACCTCCATTTGGAAAGTTCTGCAGAGCAAATGAAAGTGAACCTCTCATAGCTCACTGCTGCTACGACACACGTGCAGTTGACTTTGAAGGTAACCTGGCTGCATTCTGTCTCTATAGTGGTTCTCAACCTTCCTGACGCTGCGACCTTTTAATACAGTCCCTCATGTCGTGGAGACCCTCAACCATAACATTATTTTCATTGCTACTTCATAACTGTAATTTTGTTATTGTCATGGAATTAGACAATGAATTGGAAAGAGGTCTGTGTCCTTCACTGCCCCTACGAGCTGCCCACGACGATCCTCCGGCTGATGGCGCCTGGCAGGGTGCTATAGGGGAATTCAGACAACAAAGTATTTTAGATGATTTATGTACATCTTTGTTAAGGAATTTCATAGACTGAATGTAACTGTGTCCTATAACCCTGAAGACTAAACCAAGTCTTCAGGGACATGTTAAATAGCTAGTAATTCACTAAATGCTTTCAGTCCATTTACTTCGAAATGTAGTGCTTCTAATAAAATCTCAGACCCAGAGTTTAATATTTTTAAAAATAGAATCTATTGCATGAAGAAAAGGCTCACGGAGGTCAATTTGAGGTCATTGTTCATTAGCCTGGAGTTAAAGAGTCATTCAGGTTACTTGCAGGCAAAAATAAGTCTTGGGATTTAGGGGTTTGAAAGATGGTAGCAGGCACTGGGGCAGCGAAAGACTGCCAGCCAGAGTCCAGTCTTCCTGGAGAAGACCTGATTTGTCCCAAGACACAGGGAAGGCTATTGCGTCCTGTGAGTCTATCCCTTTAGCATTCAGCACAGTGCCTCCCATAGCACATGGTCTTAGAGGTTCTTGCGCAGAACAGAGGAAGGCACTCGTGGAAAGAGGTCTGTGTCCTTCACTGCCCCTACGAGCCGCCCACGACGATCCTCCGGCTGATGGCGCCTGGCAGGGTGTAGATGAAGAGGACCAGGAAGATGATGAGGATGATCAGGATGAAGGCGATGATGATGTACTTCTTGTAGTTCTTCCAGATGAGGTGGTACAGGCACTTGAAGGGGCTCACGAACCACGAAAAGGAGGTGTCTGGGCGGCTAGAGAGGGAATCAGGGAAGAGGGTTCATGTTTAACACCAGGAGTCTCAAACTCCCAGGAAACACTTCTGATTCTGTCTTTCTGGGGACCCACAGGAGGGGTCTGAGAGTAATGGGTGGTGGGGGAAAGACCATTCTGCTGAAAGCAACAGAAATGGGACCATTTACCAAGTGGTCTGTAATGACTCTTGCATGGTGTTAAATGTTGGTCTGATTAGAGCCAGAGCCCTGTTAGACCCCACCCTGAAGCCCACACCCCCATCCCCTCATCTGTCCTGTGACCAGATCAAGCCCACCTTCTGAATGAAATTTACCTGACCACTTCAGTCCATCAGGAGTGCTTGCCCTAAATTCCTGCCTCACCCTGGCTTACCCTCTTTCTGGGCACAGTGTATTTGTCTTCTCTTCCTCTAAATTTTATGAGTCTCTATGCTACTTCTCCTAAATAAGTGAAAAGCTGCTGGAAGGCAGAGCTCAGGCCCAGCGTTTCTTTTGTGCCCTCCAAAGTATTTATTTTTATTTATTTTTTAATTGAAAAAATTTCTTTCTGTACAATATATTGTGATCACAGTTTCCCCTCCCCCAACTCCTCCCAGATCCTCTCCATCTCCCCACCCACCCAACTCCATGTCCTGTCTTTCTCTATTTAGAAAACAAACAGGAAAAAAAAAGACAACCAAACAAACAACAAAGAATCAAAACCAGCCAACAAACAAAGAAGCAAGGCACAGAAAGACAGACACACAAAAATCTATAAAAACATTAAATTAGAAATTATAATATACAAGCAAAAGACCCGTAAGAAAAAAAAAAGCCCAAGTACAGCAATGTGAGACAAAAAGTCTACATAAACACTACTGAGCTCATTCTGTGTGCCATCTGTTGCTGGGCATGGGCCTGCCCTCAAGTGTGGTTTATCTACCTAGTGAGACTCCATTGGAGAAAACGACTTTTTCTTTTGCAAGCAGATGTCAATTGTAGACAGTTTCTGGGTCAGGCTTGGGAGCCTGTGTCTGCTTTCCTCTCTCAGCTTTGGGACCTGTGCAGACCCTGTGTGTGTGTGCGTCTCTGTGAGCAAAGTGTATTTAGACAGACGATTTAATAAACAACTTTGAGTTAGCAAGTAAGAGCTGTTATGTTCCTAACATTATGAGAGGTGGCAGATGGGTATAGAGACAACATCTCTCACCCTGAGTCTGAGGAGATAGGCCAAACGTGATTCCCAAAGGGATTTTATACGTGTATTTCATGAACATTCAGTTTTTAATGGCTATGTAACTAAGAATCAGGTGCAATAAAGTACCATTATTTTTCTAATAATTCTGATTCTGGCCATTTTTTTAAGATTAATGATGCATGAAAAAAATGTTCTCATTGTATCAAATAAACCAAATCAAAGCAAAACAGAAAATGGCAAAATTAAGTTGATTATGGCTGATTATGAGTGCTGACCAAGTTGATGATGGGTATCAAGCCCGTGGAATACAGTGCTCCCCTCAAAAATCTTAATCAGAACAACTAAACATTGAAGCAAAACTTTTCAATAAAGCATGAAAATGTTAAGTTAATCACACACACACACACACACATGCAATTCACATGCACATGAGTGTAAGACAGGTGAAGTGCCCTAACAATGCTGGTGAAGCATGGTACAGACAGGACCTGCTCCATCTGCAAACAGTCTGTGATCTTTGGGGCACTTTTCAATTATAGAAACAACACTCTACACAGGTTGGATGGCACTATTGCCTGACTCCGGACTCCTGTGTTCTCTGTGCAGGAACAGGAAAGCCAGGGCCTCAGGGACTCCTGGGGCCACTGAGACCCTGCCCGTGCCTCATGTTTCCAACTACAGCCCAGCCATACTCACTTGGGCTTGGCCAAGGGCTCGGGCTCCTTCCGGGCTTTCCCAACAGGATTTTTCTCAGCTTCTTCTGCTGTGACCAGATGGAATTCAGCTTCAACCTTGCCCTGCATAAGACAGAAACTGCAGTTTCTGGGGCAAAACCAGCATTCTCAAAGCACCATGATATTACCAGGAAGTATTTTGACTAGTCTGTTGGTTGATTTTGAGAACTGTTTTCTGGTCCTGGGAGAAATGATCTTGTGAGGAATCATAAAAGGCCCGGGGTGGGTCTGGAGAGAGAACTCAGTGGGAAGAGTGCTTGTGAAGAAAGCATGGAGACTTGAGTTCAGACCCTCATCACCCACATAAAAGGCAGAGCTGTCAGTGTATGACTATAACCCAAGAAATCAGGAGGCAGAGAGGAGCAGATGCCAGGGGCCCTCTGGTGAGCCCATCTAGCTGAAATGGTGAGTTTCAGGCTGAGTGAAGAAACCTTGTCTCAATGATGATGATGATGATAACATGGAGAGGGGTTAGTGAAGATATCACAACAGCATCTTGTTCTCTACACAGGTATGCCGGGCACATGCACCTGTGCATACCTGTGCACACACCGGCATTAACCATACACACCATCACCACCACAGAGGCCCATCACGATGCTACTGATGAGTTTTATGTATGGAAAGGGTTCCACACGTGCAGATATACACAGATGTATAGACACAGATATCCCACACGGACCATTGCCGTCATTAATATAAGAATAAATAAGACTAATGATAGAAACTGAGTGCTCATTAGGGAGGGAGCTAATGACTCATGTGGCAGGCTTCATTCTATCTGCTACTTTCTCTTCCTTCAATCTTTGGAAGGGAACTAGTGGATGTGACCTTGAATTTTCAGAGTAGCTTCCCAGCCACCCATCAGTGTGTGTGTGTGTGTGTGTGTGTGTGTGTGTGTGTGTATTCACCAATCATATCAGAACTTGCCTTTCTTTTGAGAACTACTTTCCACTCCTCTGTGGCAAACAGCCCTTCTGATTCGGAAGTTGTGTCAGGTGATTCTTTCAAGCATTGTGCCCAAGTTATTGGAAATGATATAAATCCTGAACTGGCAAACTACAGTGCAGAAATCAAGTCACTCTTCCTTGTTTAATTATTCATTTACCGCATGACAGGCCCTCTGGAAGCTACTGCCAGTCCAGGCTCTGGGGACGTGAATCAGCTGCAACACCTGTTCTTTAAGGAATAGATTTTCTCTTCTCCTGCCTCCTTGGATTTTGTGCACTGAGATTCAGGGTGATGTGACAGGAAGGGGACAGTAGAGATCATAGGAGATGAAAGCATTGTAGAAGCATTTTAACAAATGCAGTCAGTGTCGTAGTGGCTTTCTTTGGGTCACATGATTACAGATTATATGAGTAGTTGGTTTATTTCTTATTCCACTCAACCATGTCCCATGATTTACAAAAGACCCTTGAATACATGAATATGTGTGTAGTCTCTCATTCCCAATAATAAATTATTGGCAGTCAACATGCTCAGAGAATATTGAAAAACTGGGAAATTAGTAATATATTGTTTCTGTAGTTTACAGTCATGCTTCCACACAATTATCAGAATATAATAATAATAATAACAATAATAATAATAAAATTCAAATTGCAGTTGTATATCTCATCTCTGGCTCTATTACTATTATCTCTTGGTCTATCTCAAGAACAAGCTACATAGCTACTTTTTTGTAGATAGAGATATGAAGCTAAAGATCAAGTCATGTTTCCAAGGATGTACAGATATCATAAGCTGTCCAACTAGAATCTGAATCCTGGTCTATAAGGTACAAAATTTCCTGATATTTGCTAATAACAAACTGCCTGACAACTTATTCATTAATTTATTGAATACTAGATTAGAAGGTTGAAATGCCATTCTCAGCTGATCCCATGACGTCTTCATAACCACCTCCTAAAGACACTTGTCTCCCTGGTTCCTCATTGGTCGGATGTTCTAGAGTGATCTGGCCATAACATCTAGGATGTGCTAAAGGTAGAGCTAAGGCTCCAGGGAGCTCCTTAAGACTTGACGATCAGAAGGAATCTAAGAAACCAGCTTAAAATCCATGGCCAAGGAGCATTCTCATTACACAAGCAAATCTTTCTTCCGGGGCCCTTTCAGGGTGGCTTAACCTCTGCTGGGCAGTGTTTTGTATACTCAGAACTTCATCCAGTTGCTCCAATTTGATGGAGAGTCAGTTTGAGAGGTGCTAACGAATTACCAAGTTCTGTAATTCTTGGAATAGGGTACGAATCAACAGGGAACACTCAGGTAGAGAGTAAAAGAGCATAGCAGCCTCTATTCTACTGCTTAACAACAACAACAACAGCTCAACTACAGAGCTCTGCAGCCTGAATAGTGTTTCATACAGCCATGATTCATCCAAAGTACCCAGGAAAGTAGATAGCATTTCAGTGTCCCCATTGCAGCCAAAGAAACCTAGGCGCAGAGATGTTTGCTAATCTCTGTTACAAAATTATTCTGTGAGTCCTGAGGTTCCTGCATCAAGTGTCATTATTTTGCCACTTTTTGTGTTCGAGTGAGTCCTTGCTGAGGAGGACAGAGCACTTGGGCTGACTTTGACATGGCTGTCTGAATGAGTAGAGATGTGAGGTCGGCTTATATCCAAGTTATGAATTCAAATCTCAGGGCTGTTAATCATTCTCTGGTTCGAAAACCTGGTCCAACCCAAAGCATCATTAAATGTTCTAGGATTCAGAAATGTTAAATAACATTTGTTTGCTTATCTACTTATCGAGAGAAAGCTAGTATGTGTGGCAGGTGCACACGCATGTGTGTCAGGCAAAGGACAACTTGCAGGAGTCTGTTCTCTTCTCTAACCCATAGGGCAACTGTACCCAGTTCCGCAGGCTTGGCAGCAAGCACCCTTACCCACCGAGCTGCCTTTAAAAACAATGAATAACTGTGATTTTTTTCTGAAAGGTTTTAAAGGGATTTCACAGTCATTGCTATAATTCTGGCATTAGTATTTGCATTTGACCCCAATTTATGGGCTGGAATTGGATAGTTTGAGGAACACATAGAATAGCATAGCTCACCATGGACAATAGTTGAATGAATATAATCTTGTGACCTGGGTTGAAACAGTGTGACTTTGAGTGAGTTGCCTGTCCTGTGTAAGACTCATAATATGAAAACTCCGACCCCAGCCTGTTACTTTCAGACATGCATAGATGAGTCTCACAGGTTCAGAGTGTAGCAGGAAGATTATACAAAGAAGGCTGAGCACATAAATTCTGACCTTGGCATAGAAGGCATTAGTTATTATTATGAAGAGCTTGGCTTATTCTGGCCTCAGAAAGGCAATGGGAGGAGGTGTGACTGTCACATTCTGATAAACACCGCTCCTTGCCACCTATCTCTGCACCCAGAGGGCTTCATTTCCTACTCTATCATCAATATTCAGCTTCACACGAAGCAGAGGTCTTAAGCTAATAATATCCTGCAAATGTAATTTAAAATCAGGGCTAGAAGAAAAAAAAAAAAACTATGGGCAGTTTGAGAGACTACCCATTAACCTCATGACATCTGTGGACGGGGAAAAGAAGACAAAGAAAGGCCCCTGAAGAGACTGTGTCTGTGCTGTACCACAGAGAGGTCCCTGAAGAGACGGCATGTGTGCTGTACCACAGAGAGGCCCCTGAAGAGACTGTGTCTGTGCTGTACCACAGAGAGGCCCCTGAAGAGAATGCGTGTATGCTGTACCACGGTTCCTGCTTATTAGCTTCAAATTTCATCACACTGGGAGTGAGTGGCTAGCAGGTAAACGGAGAAAAGACTGCATTCAGAATGGACACAGATTTTTTTTTTTGTTTTTTACCAGTAATTATTGCTCATTACAATGCAACCTCACTGGTATTAAAAGTGATTTGCAAATATTCATGGTAGGCTATGCATTGATAAAATACTTTAAGGAAAAAAATATATGTTAAGAGTTATGGTTTGGAACTGAAATGTACCCTACTACAGGCTCATGTTTTGAGTGCTTGGTCCCTAACTGGTTATGTCATTTTTTGAGGACGATGGATCTCTCAGGAGGTGAGATCTGGATGGGTGAAAATCGGTCCCTAGAGAAGGTGTTCTGGTTCCATCGGCCTCAGTCTCTGTTTTCTGGTCCACCATGAGAGGAACGACCTTTGCCACGCACTTTTGCCACTATACCTTCCAGGCTATGGTGGACTGAAGCCACCAGAACCTGTGAGCCAAAATAAATCTTCCTCCTTAAATAGTTTCTGTCTCAGCCATATAAAAGTATTTGATTTATTCACACATATGTACATATATGTGTTTACATTATATATACCCATGCTCTCAATCTAGGAATTTCATTTCTGAGTACCTGAATTAAAGAATAATTCAGACCCCAAAAAAGGCCTTTGTACTTAGCACAAAAATTCTTGAACCAACTGTAGAAGTGTCTCAGCCTCTTCTTGAATTTTTTGGCTATAGGTCTGAAGACAGCTACCTTTGGTAGAAGACAATATCTAGAAAATAGAATCCAAGCACTAAAAGTCTTATTTGTTACTGGGAGATTTTGATCCTAGACTCTTTCAGAGGGTACAGTCAGATGATGTATTTTCCAAAAATTTCATTAGTCTGTAGTGACACAGTCAAAAATAAGTTCAGAAGAAAAGTTTCATCATGGTTCTTAAAAATCACTCTTGATTCTAATCGTTGGTAATTAGTAGATACGGTTAATTATTTATTCCATTGTTTTGGGGGTGGAAAAATAGAGTGATCATAATTTTGTTAAAGGGAAACTCTTAGATGGACAATAGCTAATAAATGGGGGGGGAGAGAGAGAGAGAGAGAGAGAGAGAGAGAGAGAGAGAGAGAGAGAGAGAGAGAGGGACATGGAATGAACAAGATCCTTGGTGGTTATAAAAACTAGTAGGTGAAAGGTAGAGGCAGCACAGGGTACTCATATTGCCAGTGTTACCCGGCAGTGACCTGCTCATGCAAAGGGGAGAACATAGCTTTGTTTGAACAGATCTTACATTTGCCAACCTAACCAACCCAGAAATTCAGCATCATCTACAGCAGGG